ACATACATCTGAAATGCATCAAACATACGAAGCTCGATGCCATGGAGTAGCGGAACAATTTGGGCAAGCACTCAGCTACCAACGATCAACCGTCACGGGAGCACCAAACGGTGCATGCAAGATGTGGGCCCGCGCTCCTCTCACAAACGGCAAGCGACCGAGCCGACCCTGCAGCTGGCTAATCCAGTCGCCCAAGCAACAACGCTACAGGCAGCATGCGGCAGGGGCAGCTTGGCCTAGGTGCAGACAACGCAGAGAGAGAAAAGAGCAGGACGGCAAGTAGCAGCAGGCTAGGCGCTAGGCAACAGATCGAGGGCAAGCGCGACAGGGAGGCCTGCGGTCCTCGATGCATGCAGCTAGGGGCCTGACTAGATGGTCCAACTAGCAGCGAACGCAGCAGGGAGCCTCTCTCCGTGGTCACGCGCATTCACGGTTCCCCACGCGCGACATGCACCCCGAACGACACGCTCCCATGCGTTGCCCCACTGAAACCAGAAAGGACGGGTGTGGGCCTGCCTGACCGTAAATATGTAACTGCACGTCTCCTCTCTTTTTTCTTGGGCGTTACGTGCGCAGGGTCAGTCCATCCGTTTGTTCGGACGCCCTCGACCAAGCGTTACCGTTTGAGGATCGAAGAATTACTTTTCTTTTTGAATCGAGGTAGTATTTGAACAAAATTTATTATAGCTTAATAAAACAATAATAATAACTCCCTAGGTCGTGCTGGCGCGGAACTTTGCGGGGATGGGCCCTCTCTCCTCGATCCTTGGCCGAGTCAGACAATCTCATGGAATATTGGAGGAGAAAATTTGATGCAGGCCGACTCCACGGCGTCTCCGTGCAGGCCCAGTGTGAATGCAAGCCACATGTTCCGAAGCGTCCAGGCAAGGCGCAGCTCCCCCGCGGCTCCTTTTACGAGCTCTTCGGCTCCCTTGCTCGGCTTGGCTGCAAGCACCTGCAACTCGGCTAGCCCATATCAGCATCAAGTAGTTTTCTTCTCGTAAAATCAGGAACGTGCTAGCTCATGCCGTCGCACAAACGCCTCAACCCCAAGAACCCATGGAAGAGAGACTAGGACATAGCCGCCAATGCCCATGATGGCAGGAGATACACACCAGACCACCGTTGCCGCTTCCGTCGTCGCCACTGCCGTGATGAGCAGGGGTGCAAATGGTACGCATATTTTATGACCATATTCAATACCAAATCTGTTTAGATAAGTTTATCTATTCTCATCCGAGTCTGAATATTCAACATCTGATACTATATTCGTATCTAAATACTCAAATCGTATATTATGATGTCCATATCAACCATATTCTATCCGACATAACTGCTATCTGTATTCGAATCCGAATCCGAATCCATCCGAATCCGAATAGAAATATGAAAAAACAAATGTACCAGTGATATCCGTCCGTATCGTTTGCATCCCTGGTGATGAGTACACAGGCTTCGGTGTCTTCCTTGGCAAAAGTACCGTGTCAGAATGACGACACGGCCGCCGGACTTGTGGTGTTCGGGGACGACGCGATCACCAATAGTCATAGAAGAAGATGCGGTGCAGACAAGACATGTATATTTTTTAACCAATATTTTCTTTGATTATCATGTAAATAGCATCTACTTATTAATTGTTCGTGATGATTTGCTTGATTGCACAGACCGCCGAGACGATCGCACGGATCACTGAGACACTATCACTAACGACCACGCCAAATGAGGTAATAAAATATAAGCACGTGTTTTACTTTTCTCGAACGTGCCATGTAGCACGTATTTTATTAAGAGGAAGTAGACAACACCAAACCAAACAACAACGACTGGCCGGTAATCCTAAAATTACCAGCACAATCCCACAAACACAAACGATACAGCAAGAAAGCACCGGGGGTAGGGCCTCCACCACCAAACCCTTACAGACTGAGCCTATTACAGGAAGACAAAAACACATTGGTAGCCTAAGGTGTAATGTAGCTGCGCTAGCCAGCATCCACCAAGGAAGCCAAGAGAGCCGGCACGACAACCGCGGCAAAGCATCCGCACAAGAAACGACCACGGCGGCCAAGCATCCGCCGAAAAAGGACCATTACGGCAAAGCATCCGTAACGAGGGCCATCACACGCTCAGTAGCTGAATGAGCGTGGAGACCGAAGCGACGAGGTGGCCAAGCATCCACCCAAGCAGCAACAGCGGCAAAGCATCCGCCAACGAACCGAACGACAGCGGCAACAACAAACACCGAAGGACAAACCAATGTGAAGATAGAGTTGAAGCACAGATAGGCAAAGTAGAGTAGGCAACAACACCGACGGTCCAGGCCATAGGACCGCCCGCCCCATGCCGCAGCGACAGTGGAGAAGCAGCAGCACCTCTTGGCCTTCAAGAAGCAGCCTCTTGGCCTTGAGGAAGCCGCCAGGTTCCTCCAGCCACGCCACCATGGCGCCATTGGTGCCCCTGGTTGGCTATTGCCAGCCACACCACCACGGCGTCACTGGCACTCATCCAAGCAAGCCATTGTCGGCCATGCCACCACGGCACAACCGACGCACCACTGCAGTCGGTCGGAGTGGGAAAACACCATGACAACGCCTCCAAGGAGGGAGACGACGCGCTGAAGGCGTCGCCGTCGTCTTGCCGACAGATCCGACATGGCTTTCGCCGGTGCTCGCCCACATCGAGCACAACAAAACAGGGAGTCTTGAAGGCACGCCACCCCTGCCCTCCACCGCTTGACTATACATGCATGCACAACACAGGATGGAGCGACTCCGGCGAGAGCAACAGGGGATCAGGCGGAGTGCATCAACGAAGCCATCAAGAAGGGAATGACATCCACGGACGCCAACTTCGTTGGGAGAAGCATCCAAGAGGGATTAACGTCCCCAAGCTTGCCCCAGCAACCCCAACGGCGAACACTTCACCGGCCCCGACACCGCCAGCCACAAGCGCCAACCGCGAAGTCCGACAGTCACCCCCACACGCCACCCACTCGCACCACGGGGCTCGGGGGGAGCCATGATGCAGCAAGGGGAGGATGCCGCCACCAGCCGCAGCGGGCCTGACCCGGACCCAGGGAGGGCGGATCCGGCCCCACCGGCCAGCCTACCCGCCGGAGATAGCAGGAGGGCGCCCGGAAGCTCCCAAGCGCGCCCCCGCAAGCACGGCGGCCGCCGGAGCGGGAGGAACCGCGCCGAAAAAGGGGGGGCCACCATCCGCGGGTGGCCAGATCCGGACCCAGGGAGGGCGGATTCGGCACCACCGGCCGCCAGAGGTAGCAGGGGGGGTGCCCGGAGCAGCCCATGCGCGCCCCCGCGCGCACGAAGGACGCCGGACCGGGAGGAGCAGCGTCGACGAGGGGGGAGGCCGCCGACCACCGTGAGAGGCCAGATCCGTGACCGGGGGAGGCGGATCCGCCCTGCCATGGCCGGCCAGCCCACCGGAGTGGCGTGGACCGAGGAGGGGTGGTGGAGTAACGGGGGAGGGAGGAAGGGGGCTGTGACGGTTGCCGGTTGTGCGGGCCGTCGCGGGCCGCCGCCGCTTCACGCTGGAGGGAGGCGGCGGCGGCCAGAGAGGGGTAGGAGCGGGCGCTGGGGCTGCGCCGGCGAGTGCCCCCGAGTCGCCCGTTGGGGGCGCTCGGGAGAGGGAGAGGTTCTTCACTCCGTGTTTTACTTTGAGAACAAGATATGGAAAATATGAGGCCCTTTGAAAACAAGATATTAAAATATGAGCACGTGTTGGACACAAGGGAACATCTAGATGATTATATGTTTCAGAAGATTATATCCATTTAACAATTTCTCATTTATATTATCGGAACTACATTTGTAGATATTACAATCAGAGAACTAGCATGTGTTGCTCTGCTCCAAGTTCTTGACCGGGAAGAGGACACCCCAGCACTTGATCCCCGCAACCATGTAAATTGACCGTACAAACTCTCAAATTACAAAGAAGGGTTACAATCATCAAGACCCATAGAAAGTTCTACGTCCGTCAGTCTCCCGAGCTCTAGCATGTGTTGCTCCGTGTGTTTGACTAGCCAGAGGACACCTCGACCACAGCTCTTGCAAATTGAGCCAAGAACCTATATAGCTGAAAACATATACTTGTTTGTATTTTTTAGCTTTCAAATGTTCCAAATAGCAACTGGGTTAATCATGTGCATTAGCCACTGACTCTGAGACTTGATATCTCTGAATGGTGCCCAGTTGAAGACATGATGAGCGTGCGTGCTGCAGAAATTGGTAGATATCCCATGTAATTGTGCATGGATAATCAACAATGAAGTTGGAGGATTTCATGAGTAACATGATTGTATGGTATGGTAAACAACCTACCTACACAGCACTATGGCAGGCATACATACTATCGAGCATGTGGTGCGCTGCGCCAGCCGTGTGCCGTGTGCCGTGTGCCGTGGGCCGTGGCGCATTCTTACGATTACGTAGCCCGCCGGGCGTAGCAGGCACGTCGGGTTTCCAGTCTGCACACAAGGTCGACGCGCGACGCGCGGGTCGCAGGGTCGCAGGGTCGCAGGGGGCTGCCTGCCTGCAATCCGAAGTTCCGTAGCCGCCGTGCACGAGCCGGCACTGGGCGTGCGTTTGGGGTCCTTTTTGCCTGGACGGCTGGACTTGGTCTTCCGCCCTTCCCTTCCCTGCGTCTGCTGACACGAGGCGCAGCGCAGGCACCGGTCCGCCGACGGGGCGACCGGGATCGGGACTCGTCGGTATGGTCACAGGTCGTAGCGTGGTGTCCGTGCCCTGCCTTGTCCAGTTTTCTTGCCCTGCGCTAGTAAACCAGGCATTCCCAACACAAGAGGCGAGCGTGACATCGTTGCGGGGGTGGCTTCTCTATCTAGTCGCTATAAAACGGCCTCTGCCCTCTGGTTGCGTCGCCTGCCTCCCCATCCGTCCGATCTAACCGTCCCACCGCTCAACGCACTCGAGGCCGAGATTTTGCTGCTGCCCTGGCCCCCCTCGGCACCGTCTCGTCCGACCATGGCTGCTGCTGACTCGGTCAAGAAGCCGTCCGCCGGCGGCAAGGCGACGCCGCCGCCCAAGTCATCCGACTCCGGTACGCCTCTCTCCTCCCTCTCTCTCTCCTTTCCCATGCAGCGCTCTGTGTCTGTTTGGAGATCTTCTTCTCTCGTTGGAACGCATGCATGCGTTGCATCATCGAGTAGCGGCGATCGGGTGACTTTTGATATCTTGACACAGCACGCAATAGGACTTGCACCTTTTATATTATTAGATTAGAGGTAAAGATTTCAACCTCAATGGCTAGGGTCGGGCGATGATCGACGCGAGAGAGATCGTTTGATCAGCATGTCAAACTAATATTTGACATTATGGCAAATATTTTAAATTTCGTTTGCCATTATGACAGTCTGATACACACGTCATGAGACCTTGTTGTTTACTAGGAGTTCGCTAACTCATATTTGTTGCTATATTAGGGCAGTCCCAATGGTGTATTATGATGGTTTCTATCCTTATTAAATGACTTGCCACGTAGACAAAATGCTGATATGGCAACGTAATTAATGAAGAAAGAGAGCAAAAATCATAGAAATTATTTCCTTATGAAGAAATCAGGTCTACTCTTGACCCAATGCAAAAAAAAAAAAAAAAAAACCATGAAATCGCCCATTCGCGTCGTCATGGATTTGGACTTTTTGCACGACCGATGAGCCTTGTGATTGAGTTGAGCCTTGGAGATCCCGAAAGGGACACTTTGATTCCGGGCGAGTAGCGTAGCGTTCGGTTCGTCTCCGTTTTTTTGCAATCTGACTATCTGAGCAACCTGTTGCTTTCAGCCGCGCACTATTCCGGACCTTCTCGAACGGCGAAGAGACGACCGAACATAGGAGTACGACATACTAGCGACACTCTGCGTTGGAATTGGATACGTTGTACTATTGGCCCATTGGGGCGTCAAAATTAAAAAACAAGACACGAAGTTTGATCCAAAACACAGAGTCTTCCTCGCATGCATGCGCTACTTGCAAAGCCGGAATCTGGTAGCTAAAAGGCATTCCACACCAGTTGTTTTCTCCAGCAGACAGAGAATTGTTATTCCTCTATACATACAGTACGACGACAGTTACGTGTCCAATTTGCTGCTACGTGGTAGCAGTAGCACTCCATGTGCATTTGCCGACGTCCTCGGAACGTTGCAGTGTCAGGACGGTGGTTGACTCGCTTTGCACCGCTCTGTCGTTGACAGGCATCATGAAGAGGCTCCCGCGCCTCGCGTTCGTCTTCTTGCTGGCGCTGGTGTACCGGCAGCTCCAGGCGCCACCTCCCAAGATCCCCGGAACGCCCGGCGGCCCTCCGGTGACGTCGCCGAGGATCAGGCTCAAGGACGGCCGGCACCTGGCCTACCACGAATCGGGCGTGCCCAGGGAGCAGGCCAGGTACAGGATCATCTTCATGCACGGGGTCGACTCCTGCAGGTACGACGTGCTCCGGGTGTCGCCGGAGCTGGCCCGGGAGCTGGGCATCTACCTGCTCTCCTTCGACCGGCCCGGGTACGGGGAGAGCGACCCGCACCCGGCTCGGACCGAGAAGAGCGTCGCCTTGGACATTGAGCAGCTCGCCGACGCCCTGGAGCTCGGCCCCAGGTTCTACCTCACCGGCTTCTCCATGGGCGGCGAGATCATGTGGAGCTGCCTCAAGTACATCCCGCACAGGTACGGCAGGCAGGCAGCCTCTGGTCTGGATTTTGAGAAGGCAAGAAGATCATGGGCTGAATTTCGCAAACTTGCAGGCTTTCGGGCGTAGCCATCCTGGGCCCTGTGGGCAATTTCTGGTGGTCCGGGTTCCCTGCGAACGTGACCCTGGACGCCTGGAACGTGCAGGTGGCGCAGGACAAGTGGGCCGTGGGCGTGGCGCACCACGCGCCCTGGCTCACCTACTGGTGGAACGCCCAGAAGCTGTTCCCGGCCTCCAGCGTCATCGCCTTCAACCCGGCCATCATGTCCCGGGCCGACATGGCACTCATCCCCGCCTTCGCCTACAGAACCCACACCGTAAGCTAGAAGCTCTCTGATCCGATTCCCCCGTTTTATTATTGGGATGTTTCTCACCTTGTGTGACTTGCATGCAGCACCAGGTGCGGCAGCAGGGGGAGTACGAGAGCCTGCACCGCGACATGATGGTCGGCTTCGGCAAGTGGAGCTGGAGCCCGCTGGAGCTGGAGGACCCGTTCCCGGGCGGCGAGGGCAAGGTGCACCTGTGGCACGGCGCCGAGGACCTCATCGTGCCCGTGGGGCTGTCGAGGTACATCGCCCAGAGCCTGCCGTGGGTGCGCTACCACGAGCTGCCCACGGCCGGACACCTCTTCCCCATGGCAGAAGGGATGGCCGACGTCATCGTCAAGTCGCTGCTGCTCGGCGACGACTGACGATTTGTGACCGTCGTCGTCGTCGAGTCTCCCCTCTCCCTCTTCGTCCTGCTGGGTTTTCGGGTGCAGCCCTTTTGGGTCTTGCTTTGTAGTGCAGTGAGAATGCTACCGATCATGTCTTTGCGATTGTTTCTTCTATTCCTGTCCTATATTATACAGATATATAGAGAAATATTTATAAGAAATAAGCTCTGTAGTCTCAAAAGGTTTGTCTTCGGTTTCTCTCACCAAAAAGGCTACACACATTTCGCTGCTCAAGGTGCCTGTTCGTTCAAAGAAATGATTTCGCTTCTAATAGAGCGCGAAGGTGAGGGACAGAAGAGGGAGTTATGCGCCCGGACTAGGCTGAAAAGAAGCTTTAGGCCCACTAATAACTCAGGGAGTGCAAAGTCATGGGCAAGGAGAGGAACTGAGGATCAGGGTGAAAAGAAGTTTTAGGCCCACTAATAATTCAGGGTACAATTAATTTGTAAAGAAGCGTGCTAGTTATGTCTTTAGTTTTTACCAGCAAACATGCCCGCGCGTTGCGATGTGTGCGGGGTACGACCCTAAATACTCACGACAGACCACATGGGCTGCACCCACAGAGGTAGCCCAGCCCATGAGACTAAGCCTTGCGGATCACGGCGCTGCTCGTCGCGTCCCGTAAGACATCAGGAAGATATCCTGAAGATACTACGAGATCTGTTAGGATACGTATGATCCCATGATTCCTGTAATCTGTTATTACTTTCCGGTTATCTCCTAAATCTAACTGACTTATAACCCTGCCCCCAGACTATATAAGGCGGGCAGAGACCCCTCTCAAAACACACGCAATATCATACGATAGCCAATACAATCCAACAAACTACAGGTAGGGGTGTGCGTGTTGTTTCCATGTCGAACAAGATGGTACGTTTTGTAGGCTCTTCGTCCCTCCCACAGCCCGACCAGATCTTCACGGTCGAATCGATCTCCTGGATCATCAACGCTGATGGAGTCAGAGAGCTCATTGAGCCAGTGCAGATCGATACTGCGCCGATCACCCCAACACCTATGACTGCAGATCCGATCTCGGAACCGCTCCGAGGTGATCTTCACCAACAATTCGCCGCCCGCTCCCCCGCTACCCGAGGAGGTAGATCAACAACGACGATCTGATCTCATCCATCGATAAGGTCGGCCAGAAGCACCGATTGCCTCTCCATCGTAGAATCGGCTCTGACCACTCTGGTTCAGCACCGACCACCCTCCGATCCAGATCTATCAGAGGCTGATTGGGAAACTCCAGGGGTTACGGCCCTACCCTTCGGGCTCAATAGCGCCGCCACCGCCTATCAAGACGCCCTAAGGGGCAAATTCGCCGACCAGATGGGAGATATCCATCCTCTTGCCGACCATATCGCCGACCAGCTCTCGCCGACTGTCAACATGCTACACGTTGGCCGACACCCTGAAGCATCCCTCCAAACCATCCTAGAGGAAAATCCAGACTCCGAGTCCCAGGGCTCTACGGAGACCGTCGCCGAAACCACCGCCGTACAACCTCCTTTACCGCCCTTCCGTGGAGGCGGAATTTTCAATGTCAGCGTCGACACCCCCCACGAGACGGGAAAACTAAGGAACGCGCCGCTCGCATCAACAGGAATGTCAACCGTGTGCAACGCCGAGCAAATGAGGCTGCCCTTATGCTAGCCGAGGTTGCTCGCAACGATCAACTTGTTGGTGTTTTGGACCGGCGGATCCTCAACCAACTAGTGAAAGTGTACTGCGTGTCCCTAATCCGGAATGGTGATGCAAAGAGACACAAGGTTTATACTGGTTCAGGCAATAGGTGCCCTACGTCCAGTCTGGGAGAGCGATCTTGTATTCCTTGCACCGAGGTGCTTGTAGTAGGGGTTTACAAGCAAGGCGAGAGAGGGAGTTTGTCCCAGGTCTCTGCGTGGAGCGGCGTGGGTTGCTTGAGATGTTGATCTCTCACAGTGAGGGAGCGTGCGTATTACAGAGTGTTGCTCGTTGCTTGCGCGTGTGTGTCTATCTGAGTGATGTCTCCGTGAGTGCCTGTCTAGAAACGGCCACGGTCACTCCCTTTTATAGTTGAAGGGGAGGACAGGGGCGATACATGCATTCGCTACATGGTGTTTTGTGGGTGGAGGCGGTATGTCTGAGCCCTGTACTTGTCACTGTGGTGGCATGGTCGACGGAGCGGTCTTGTCCTCGGTGCACTGGAGCAACGCGCTGGTCACGCCTGATCCTATGCGACATGGGGGCTCCTTTGATGGCTTGACGTAGGGCATGACGCAGACTATGGATGACATGCCGGTCGTTGTATGTCGACAGCGTAGAGAGCCTAGGCCCCGTCGGTGCAGAGGCTAAACCATTGTGGGGGGCTCGGCGGGCGCGAGTCCCAAGGCTACAGGGGTACGGAGGTGGGTAGCCGAGGCTCGAAGGGAGCAGTTGGCCTTTTACGCTGATTCCGAGGCTACAGGGACCCGGACATGACTCTCCATGCCGCACTATCGTCGGAGCAGGTGGGGTTAGGCAACACAGTGCTGCATGGGTGTCAGTCGTGGGCACAGTGCCGAGCACAGCGGCCGGTAACCCCTGCCTTGTCCCGTCCCGGACGGCATGGCGTTGATGCGACTCCCATCTCGTCGGTCACTCCACTGTGTCAAACCGTCGTTCGGCTGACGTCGCGGGAGTGGTTGGTTGCGTTAGTTGGACATGACATCCTGGTCGAGGTGGCGGTGACAGGGTAGCTGCCGAGCCGGCCTCGAGCGAGGCGGAGAACCAGTACCTCGTCCGAGGCCTTGCGGGGCGGGGCCTCGGACGAGGTGGAGAGTTGGTACCTCGTCCGAGGCCTTGCGGCGTGGGCCTCAGGTGAATCGGAGAATCGGCCGAGGCCTCGTGGTTGTCTCTTGGCTTTGATATTTACAAGGTCTAAGCAATTTTTTCGGTTCTTGCTTAGGGTACCCCTTTTTATGGTATCCGACAGTAGCCCCCGAGCCTCGGGGGGAGTGCGAGCTGAGGTTTTGACGAGACTTGGCTTACAGCAGCTCCCGTCGGGATTGTGGTTTGTGCTCGAGGCCTCAGTGGGTGCGCGCGAGCGCACCCACCGGGTGTAGCCCCCGAGCCCCTGAGTGCGAGTTTGGGTCGCTGGGTCTTGGCTTGGTTGCAGGAAGAGCCCCCAAGCCTCTGCGCGGAGCAAGAGGGTGATCAAGAGTTTCCCTGTCTTTTTTGGGCGGCCCTCGTGCATCCTTTTCGTTCGGAAGGAGGGGTGGAGTATGCCAGGCTACCCTCGGTGGGCGCGAGCAGTGACACCTCCGGTGAGTTGTTATCGGGTAAGTCCAAGTGGAGGCTCGTGCCCCATTCGATAGGGGTCGGCTAGCAGTCCAGAGACACGCTCCAAAAGTACCAGAGGGCTTCTCTAGTGGGTCCCAGGGCCGCTCGATTGGCCTCGGGGGCACGGTGCCTCCCTACGGTGGGATCTCATTCAGAGACCTTCCTGCCGGTCTCGGACATGACTTAGGGCATCCCAAGCAATTGCTTACTTGGGCCTCGGCCATGTACGGGCTCGCCCATAGTCGTCCCTGACTCTATTTGTCCTGGGACGGCTGTCGAGACCCTCGGGGGCCTAGCCTTCGAACCCCTAGACCATAACGGGCTCAGTGCCCAGTTCCTTAGTCTGAAAGGAATCGGCTTGGTTGTAGGAGGAGCCCCCGAGCCTCTGCTCAGAGCAAGAGGGCGATCAGGAGTTTCCCTGTCTTTTTTGTGCGGCCCTCATGCATCCTTTTTGTTCGGAAGGAGGGGTGGAGTATGTCAGGCTACCCTCGGTGGGTGCGAGCAGTGACACCTTCGGTGAGCTGTTATCGGGTAAGTCCAAGAGGAGGCCCATGCCCCATTCGATAGGGGTCGGCTAGCGGTCTAGAGACGCGCTCCAAAAGTATCAGAGGGCTTCTCTAGTGGGTCCCAGGGCCGCTCGATTGGCCTCGGGGGCTTGGTGCCTCCCTACAGTGGGATCCCATTCAGAGACCTCCCTGCCGGTCTCGGACACGACTTAGGGCATCCCAAGTAATTGCTTGCTTGGGCCTCGGCCATGTACGGGCTTGCCCATAGTCATCCCTGACTCTTTTTGTCTTGGGGCGGCTGTTGAGACCCTCGGGGGCCTAGCCTTCGAACCCCTGGAACATAACGGGCTCGGTGCCCAGTTCCTTAGCCTGAAAGGAATCGGGTGGGGGATATTCCCCTCCCATCGGCTGACAATGGCGGGCGCGCCTTTTGAGGTGGTTTCTCAGGGAGACGGAACAGCGCCTGCCGTCACTGCGGTCGGATGCGACGCGATGTCTACGGATGGGACATTACTGTGCGCGCGTGGTTAATAAGGAAAAGGTGGACGCGTGGGCGGTTTTGTCGGATCCGGATTAACTGTGCTAGATCTAAGGGAAATTTCCCCGGTTTCATCGCCCATCCATTTCACCCCCTCCCCTCCCTCATAAATATATGATGAGCCTCGCCCTATCCCTTCTTACCTTGCCTGCCTGTGTTCGCCCTTTCTGCCCTCGAGTGGTTGCTAAGAACAGAGGAAGAGAGCGCTGGGAAGAAGAGGGGAGAAGGGGAGGAAAGGCGGGAGAGAGAGAGAGAGGGATAGCGAGAGCACGCCTTACCGCCGTAGCCACGTTCTACACTGCACCCATGGCCAGCGGCGCTGTTGTCGTTCAGGCAGATCCTTGGGGTCCGTTCGATGTGTCTGTGGAGACGCTGCAGTCGCTTGTCGACGACGGCCTCCTCCGCCCGGTTACCGACCCTAACAGACCAGAGTGGATTGCTCCGGGGGCCGAGCCAGAGCCAAGGCCACGCGATGGCTACATCGTGAGCTTCATGGCCTTCCACGAGCGCGGTCTCGGCTTGCCGGCGGACCGGTTCATGTGGGCGCTCCCGCATTACTATGGCGTGGAGCTCCACAACTTCAACCCTAACTCCATTGCGCAGGTGGCCATCTTTGTCACCGTTTGTGAGGG